ATAAAGGATAGGATATTCCCATGTTTAGAAATTATCTATAGAAATTAAAAAAAAGGAAACTACGAAAAAAAAGAGTCCTGCATATACAGAAATGTTTGTCAAAAAGAGGCAAACGGGCAAAATGTATTTGATTTGATATTGATAATATCATAAACTGGATTCGCAGACATCCCTACCACAATAAAACTTTCGGTTATTCATGTCAATCTTCAAATATAAAAGAAGATGATATAATTATTACATTACAAATGCAAAGCAAATTCCATTACAGGCTGAATACTCTAGAAACATGTACGCATCATCCCATCAAAAAAAAGTACATTCCATACCTTTCTTTTAATTCGAAAACACCAAAATTGTCTGACACAGAAAATATAAGTGTATGGGGAAAATCCTTAAAGAGGAACTTAATATTGCTCTGCCACAACTAGAAAAATATAAATCTCCAAAAAGGCTTAGGTTAACAACAGAAATTTATGATCACTCCTGACAATACCTAGAATAAGACCGCAAATTATCTCACTATGAAAGGCGAACAGAGATGAGGCGTGATCCAGTTAATCCCCAAAAGACGGATAGAGACTTACTAAAACTCAAGGATTGTGCAAACTAGTCAATCAGCAAAGTTTGAGTACCAAAACATTTTAACTCCTGCAGTTGTTTTGAAGATTGTGGAACACGACATAAACAACCTGATGTATAGACATGGCCCGAGGACATGTTTGCATTCACAATGCGAGCCTCCATTGAAGTAACGCTAATGAAGGTCAGTCTTCTGAATGAGGTGACAACGTTTAAAACAGTCTAATATATGCAAGTAACACGACTGTTAAAAGTTATGACACCTTTCAAAGATCGATGCTACGTTTGTATAACATCAATAAACACAAAACCGATCAGTTGACTCAGTGTTCATATGAAATCCCACCTGTATAACTTATTGGTGAACAGCCCCTGACCTTGAATAGAGGACATCCTTACTTGTAGACTACTATGTCTCTCATTCTGGACTCTAAAGATTTAAAGTTAGAGGAATGTTGACGAAATTGGCTATAAATCTATGTTCACAAATAAGATGACAAGCCCTTACACGATATAAAACGTCACCAACATAGAATTTCTAACAACAGAAATTCTAATGTTAAGTAAACAAAACAAAGCTGACCTTCTGGTGGGACTGGTTCCCTGGTGAGTCAGATCTGCCGGACGTACATGCACATTTCTTGCATTATTTGATTGATCCAAACTAACCATGCCCCGTAAAGTCATGTTGTTGGAAAAGATATTTTTCCTATAAGAATAATACGACAAGTACTGACCTACGATCCAGTGCACTACACGATGAAGCCAAAGGTTCTAAAACATCTTCCATTGTAAACATACCGTAGGCAAAAATAAGCTGTCAAAAACCACCTACCTGAGTGTGGTTACTGTGAAACAGTCACATTGACAGGGTAATCCAACCTCCAAATTGTCCATTTAGTTTAAAAAAGTTCACTTTTTGACCAGCGAAATAGAGTACGAAAAATGTAAACATTGAGATAATGACCTCTGACCCCTTTGAAGACCACCAAAACACAAGAAGACGGGAATAGTTTTAGAGCTCTACCAAGCAGTCAAAACAACACCAAATGTCGTTTTTTTAACAAAACAGAAAGAGCAAAAACTTTCCAGCTGGAAAATGTCAGCATTTGCCACAAAATGTCACACATACAAAAACGGATGTTTTCAGTTTGTTTGGATGCGCTCATCAAACTGGACTTAGAATGAACCTTCTGCGCCTGCGGGAAATAGTGACCTTTGGCCTACAACCTGTCAATGATTGATACTGCATCTTGGGTTAGAGAGACTAAAGAAACAAATGTTTACATTTCGTGGAAACGAAAAGGGAAAACATTAAATGAAATGTTACTATTCAACCTATTGAATTTGGTCGTCTAGGCCTGACAAATCTAGAATATCAGAAACAATCCCTACTAGCATTTTGGGCACAATGATGAGCACAAATTACAATGACAAATGGAAAACAATTGCTCTGACATAGATAAAAGCTTTGGTCCTGAAAATCTGTTACTTTATAGGAATCCCTCATGTGAAAAGGATGGACCAGAGGATGTGTAAACGACTTTTCAGTCAGGTAATAATATCCTTCCACTCTGCTAGTGGAGGTGAGGAAAACAATCCCTCTAATGTTTATGAAAAAATGCGGGGAATTCTTTGGTGCAACGGCTATGCAACACTGTGTCTTCTTTTCAGCTTAGATTAAAGAAGGCAAAACATTTATAAAAGACCATTTCCCCTTTGGCAAGTTCTTGTCCCTAAAACACAACACCCAACTCACACTTAACACAAGACCAAATGGTATCATTGAATATATATATAACACTCTTTCATGCTATACCTCTTACATATAAGAAACTTGTTAGGAATCATATAAGCCCAATCACTTGTCAAACATTATACCTCAGTACCGTTGCCCCACACATTTTTGATGGTAAGACGAGAAAACAAATCAAAACCAGGAATTTCTACAAATTCTTCTATGGCATAATAATACAGACACATATCAAGGAACACATATGTCAATTTCCAACTGTAACTTTTACATTGAATTAAGCACATACATGTAAAGACACTACGTTAGCAGAGCAAATTGTTACTCCGGACATCCTGTGGTAACAATCTACACAAATTGGTTATCAACTGGCAAATAGTTGATTCAACATGTACCTTATGTAACAGTGAACATGTTATAGATTATGAACACAAACATTTCGTTTTCAGTATCGTGTCGACATGCCTACCAGTATAAGAAAAGACGTTTGACTACCAACAAACCTGCAGCTGTTAGGGAGATTTTGAAACACACAATTTGCTATATAGACACGACCCGAGGACATGCTAACGTTTACAATACGAGCTTCCATTTAAGTAACAGTTGTGTAGGTCATTCTTTTCTGAATGAGTTGACAACGTTTAAAAACAGTCTAATATATGCAAATAACACATCAGTAAAAGTTTCTATAACACCTTTCAAGGATCGATGCTACGTTTGTACATCAGCAATAAACCCAAAACCGACCAGTTGACTCAGTTTTCATACGAAATCTCGCCTAGACAATCTTACTAGTGAACAGTGACTGACCTTGAGTAGAGGTCATCCTTACTTGTAGACTACTATGTCTCTCATTCTGGACTCTAAACCTTTAAAGTTAGAAGAACGTACACAAAATTGGATGTAAATTTCTGTTCACGAACAAGATGGTGATTTCTGTTCACGAACAAGATGATGATTCAATAGAAATTCTAACGTTAAGGAAACAAAACAAAGCTGACCTTCTGGTGGGGCTGATAGTTCAGGAAAGCTGTCACATGAAGTCAACAACGGCGTTTTCCTGTCAGACTCAGACGATCATATGTCAAACACGCCAGGGTCGTGTTGGGAATATATGAAGGCTTTTGCGCTATTTCTCACTGTAACGTATAAAATTTCAGTACTTTTTCAGAATGCCGGAGACACTTTTTTATGCCCAAAACGTCTACAGGTTTTGGTCCTTTGAACCGATTGGTCAACAAAAGGCTTTATATTCAATTTGTTTCCCTTTTTTATCATCTTTCGATGGAAATTTACCGCGCATTGAAATGACTACTAACCAAGCAAAACTTATAGAATTTACCAATGAAAGAAATAGCCAAGGTATGGCTCAACTAACCCTTTATAAATTGTGACTCTGATTGGAATAGCGACGTCGTACCATAAGTAAAAGGGTTAAAGGACATGTTATAGTATCTATCTACTATTCATCCCAGATTTTCATAAATCATCAATAAAAGAAAAAAACTTTTAAAAAATTACACCATTTACAAAATGTATATAGCCAAGTACGATTGCAAGGCTCTTGGATTCTATGGTTATAGATCAACATTTGTAAACAGATAGAAGAAGAGGAGCTTTATTACACAACAATTGTAGCGGGTACAACGTATGGCAGCATATATATATATAGTTGTATAATGTTGCTAATATTTATCTAACTATACTAACAGTTCGAAGAGGTGACGTTTATTTAGAATACTACCTAGACTACAACATCCCGAGATCGAACTGCCATAGGACCAGAACCTGCTAATTTAAGGTATATTAGTACATACGAACAAATTGAAACTCCATAAATGAGCCCGACGCTACCAACTAGTCCCTAGCCCTCTACAAGTTCTACTGTGGTAAATCTAGCTACAACTTTTCTCTACACTCATCAAACATCACTAAATGTCATAAGGGCATACGATGCTCTTTTTAAAAAAACTATTGCATCTATTTGAATACTTGTAAATAAAATGAGCTGCATAAAGCCCCTGTCACACATTCAGGACCTTCCCCCGACATTACCCCTGAAAACCGGCTGACCCAGGTCGGCTGAAGTTCGGGAACAGTCTGGCCAACCCCCGAATGTTTTAAACAATATTTTGAAACATTTGGCTTGTAAAGCCAGGATAGCAGCCGGCCTTGCCGAACACCAGCCGACCCAGCCACATTTTCTCCGCCCCATGACCATGGTTGGGGGGAGTTCGGCTAGTGCTCGGAAGACCATATTCGTGTGTTACAATGACATAAGGTTTCTCGCTATGTATATAACAAGCCGGGATATTTCTTACATTTGCAGCCCACAATACAGTAAAGCACTCTGTAGCTGACGACGGACCCATTCGCCAGCTGTCAATGTGCATTGATGAATCACCACAATGGCGGTCTTATTCAGACACGTGACCCAGATTTAACCTTTGGGGACTTTGTAGAAAACTGCGTACGTTTTAAACAAGTTTCTGTTATGTTATATTTTATTTTATTACCATTCATTGACCGCCTCCGAATGTGTAGCGTTGTAACCACGTTATTCGCCATTGGACATACAGATCAAAACTGACCTGCCTAGCTGCTGCTGAGCTTGGCGTGCTTCTCAGCACCACGGAAGGTTCCAAGTGTCTGCAGTGCCGTCTCATCAGTTAGACGCCTCCCTTCCTCGACGTTTCGCCCCGTTCTGCCTAAGACGTCTCTGTGGGGGGTGGGGCAACGAAGCAGGCGTCCCTGCTCCGCTTCCGGCACTGTCGCCACTTCTCTGGAAGGACTTCCACGCCTTATCCTTTCTCCTCAGCCACAACACGAAACTGCTTCTTTCTGCTTCTTCAGACACCTGCCTAGTGAGCTGTGTCTGGGCTTTTCCCCTGATGTTGAAGTCCCTGCACAGACGCATGAAGGAAGTCCCTACAAATCCTCTTACACCGACTTCTACTGGGTATAGACGCGTCTGCCATCCTTTCTGCTTGCACTGCTGGACCAGATCATCATATTTCAGTTTCTTTCTTTCAAATGCTGCTTGCACATTTTCTTCCCACGGGATGGTTAACTCAATGATGAGTGCAGCTTTCTGATCCTCGGACCACAGAACTAGATCCGGTCTAAGAGATGTCTCGCAGATGGTATTCGGGAAGTGGAGTTGCCTGTCCAAGTCTGCTCTCATCTCCCACTTTCCCCTACACAGAATACTACTTCCTGAGTTAACGGTACCAGTGACTGCTGTTGATCTTGGTTTCTGACCCTCTTTCACAAACTGGATAGACTGAAGGGATGATGATGTTCTGGAGGATTCGTTTCTTACTTCCTCCAGCTTCATTGCTAGCTGTCTTAACACCTTGTTGTGTCTCCATGTGTAGCGACTTTGTTGCAGAGCAATCCTCATAGCCAAGTGTCAACAAAGTACTAAAACCAATGTATGAAAACACGAATTCACTTACTTAGGCCAAGTGCCTACATGTGAATTTCTCAGACGCAACTGGAAACCAAACGTTTTTTTCACAGCCAGGTGCCTACAAGTTTTTGTCAACGTGCGTGACCTCAAATTCACCTAGACCAGATGCCAGAGAATAAAATGTATCGGACGTAACTAAATATAAACAAACCGTCCCTCGAGGCTAAGTGTTTAAAAAGGCATTGTCTTGCAAATGCTGACTCTGACAGTACGCTACATGCCATGCTCACCTGTTTTCCCATGGCCTTTTACAGGTCTAATAAGTTTGAAATAAATAAAAAAAAAATCACAATATACTATGGCATTATCCGTCAGACAAACGCATACAAACCCCCTTTTCACAAGTGGACTCGTTTGCGTGACGTCAACCCAACATGGCCGCTCAGTAAAAAGCGAATGGATACAAAACAAGTTTTGCAACAGAGTAAACCCATAATTGACCAGTGATATATGACACTGTGTCCAGTGATGTATGAAGAAACGAGTGATAGCTGTAGTAGCCGGAGCGACGGGGTGTAATCTATCGGGGATGGGCGCGCGTGGTGCCGTGTGCCTTTTTGAGTCGGTCCGAGGGGCCTGCCACACATCCATAACCCGACTACGAACCAAGGTTGAGTGAAGTTCGGAAAATGTCTAACCAAAGTTGGCCCATGCGTATCTATCTTTATGAATCAAATCGAATTCAAGGCAAATATGAACCCAGAACACCGCTGACATACTCCTGAACACCAGCCAGGTACCGCCAGCCAACAATGGCGGGACGTTTTTAAACATTCGGCTGGTGCAGCCAACTTCGCCTAACCACAACCACAGCCTTGATCCCGACCTACTCCAAACTATGGTTGGATAAAGATAGGCATTATCCGAGGGTCCATATTCGGCTAATTGTGACAGAGGCGTAACATATGATGGGTAGGAGGGTATGGTGCTGTATGCTCTACTACTAGATGCCGAATACGAAAGGCGCTATTAAACACACGAGATGTGAGCGCGCATGATGCCGTATGCCTGCTTGCGTCTGTCCGAGGGGCGCCATGATGAGGCTCGGACAAACAGAACTTACAAGGACCGGACGGTTTAACATGTAGAGCAGATGAAAAAAAATGTAAGTCTTAAATAATTGGATAAACCCTACTTGAATATCATTGTCTAAAAGCTGACACCTGGCATTAACGTTATAGTATTGCTACTTCTTCAAGAACTATTAATTAGATCTGAAGGCCTTAAAGGACGATTTGTAGTACAGGGCAGTTATGTCGGATTGGCAGGTGTAGCTACTGCAACGGCTCCCCCTCCGTCGGACTAACTCAACCAGGCTTACGGCACCAAGTGCGCTCACTCCCGGTAGCTGACTCGCCTAGGTCCGGTCTTTCAGCTACCGCTCTTATTTTCGTACATCACTTGGCATTTCATCATACACCACTGGTCAATTATAGGTTTCCAGTGTCGCAAACATATGTTATAACAACTTGTATATGAAGGGGCGACCATGTTGAATTGACGTTACGCAGGAGAGTCCACTGGTGGAAAGGGAGTGTGTTTGTCTTTTCTATTTATGAATAATGCCATTATATATCGTAATTTTTTTATAAACATTACAGTTACAACATGATTGTACTGACTGTACTGTTAATAAAAAATTACAATGTATAATGGCATTTTCCGTAAAAAGACAAGACAAACACACTCCCTTTCCACCAGTAGACTCTCCTGCGTGACGCCAATCCAACATGGTCGCCCCTACATATGCTGGCTGATACAACAT